CGAGCGGATTTTTTTTTTTTCTCTCTCCAATGTCATATGTGATCGTTTGCCAAAGTTGTCCGACGTCCACCGTGCCCAAATGGCACGTTTCCGTCAATATTCTTCAAACCTTGCTTATATTCCCGGATTTCCAAACCTTGCTTATATTCTCGGACAGAGGGAGTACATCATAAGGACCCCAACCGAAAAAGATAACCAACAAGGAAAACGAAGCGGGATACAGACGATCGACCTTGGTAAAAAGGGGATGATCCAGCTGATGGCACTGCTGTACAATTGGGTGTGGAAAAACGAGTATACGCCAAGGACATGGAGGGAAGACGTGGTTGTGAACTTCAGAAAGGAGACAAGACTGACCCAGGAAACTACAGGGGGATCACACTGTCGAACACAGTAGGAAAAGTGTGTTGTAAGCTGCTGAACGATAGGATAGTGGAAGTATTGGAGAAGGAACAAAGCATTAGTGAGGGCCAGGCAGGTTTCCGANAGACATGGAGGGAAGACGTGGTTGTGAACTTCAGAAAGGAGACAAGACTGACCCAGGAAACTACAGGGGGATCACACTGTTGAACACAGTAGGAAAAGTGTTCTGTAAGCTGCTGAACGATAGGATAGTGGGAGTATTGGAGAAGGAACATAGCATTAGTGAGGGCCAGGCAGGTTTCCGCAAGAAGAGGGGGTGCGTAGACCACGTGTTCACGGTAGGGAGAATCATCCAAGGTAGAAAGAGGGCGGGAAAGCCGACGTACTGCTTCTTCCTCGACGTGAAAAAGGCATAAGATACCGAATGGAGAAATGGGCTGTGGAAACAACTGTCCAAGTACGGGATCAAGGGGAAAATGTGGCGAGTGCTAAAGAAGACTACAGCGTGTACGAAAAGCGCGGTTATGTTAGACGGAGAACTGTCGAAATTCTTCCACATTGAGCAGGGGGTCCCACAAGGTTGCACGCTGTCCTCAACATTGTTNAAGATACCGAATGGAGAAATGGGCTGTGGAAACAACTGTCCAAGTACGGGATCAAGGGGAAAATGTGGAGAGTGCTGAAGAAGATGACAGAGTG